AAGATTGAGACAAATGGGGAGTGAGATTGACCTTTCACTACACAAGAGCAAGAGAGAAAATAGTGAGGTAGCTAAAAGTGAGAAAAAAAAGAGTAAAGTCACAATAGAGAAAAGTAAAAGATTCTGGTGAGAGGAGAGAAAAATCGAAAGTGAATTTCTTTACAAAAGGGAGTGAGTTGAAGAGGGTAGTAGTTGAGAACCGACTTATGGTCTTGTTGGTTTATAAGGAGTCATTCCTCAATTTTGAGGAATCTAACGTACCCCTCCCCAATTTGGCTACTTCTTTGTTGCAGGAATTTGAATACATGTTCCCGGAGGACATGCCTAGTCGGCTACCAATCATTTGAGGCATTGAACATCAAATTGATTTTGTACCTGGAGCTGTCATTCCAAACATGCCGGCTTATCAGAGTAATCCCGAGGAAACTAAGAAACTTCAAAGTCAAGTGGAAGATTTGATGAGCAAAGGGTATGGGAGAGAGAGTATGAGTCCATGTGCCATGCCGTATTACTTGTACAAAAAAAATAGAATTTGGATTATGTGTGTCGACTGCAGGGCCATCAACAGTATAACGGTAAAGTATCGTCATCTTGTTCCTATGTTAGATGATAAGCTAGATGAATTACATGGATTATGCATATGTAGTAAAATTGATTTTAAAAGTGGTTATCATCAAATTAGGATGAGGGAAGGTGATGAATGGAAAACCGCTTTTAAAACTTAATATGAGTTGTATGAGTGGTTAGTTATGTTATTTGGACTTACTAATGCACCTAGCACATTTTTGAGATTAATTAATCATGTTTTACGTGCATTCATAAGTAAATTCGTAGTAGTTTACTTTGATAACATATTGGTATATAGTAAGGATTTAAATGGACATATATGACATTTGAAATGTGTGCTTGCACTCTTAAGGCAATACCAACTTTATGCTAATTTTAAAAATTGTACATTTTGCATGGAAAATGTCGTCTTTCTTAGAAATATGTCGTTAGTGATAAGGGTATTGAAGTGGATGAGGAGAAAATCAAAGTCATCAAGGGTGACCAACACCTAAAAGCATAACTGAAGTAAGAAACTTCCATGGGTTAGCTAGTTTCTATAAGCGTTTTGTAAAAGATTTGAGCACACTTGCCACACCTCTCACAGAAATTATAAAGAAAAGTGTAGAATTTTGTTGGGGCGTTGAACAAGAACATCCTTTTAATACTATTAAAGAAAGGCTGTGTACCGTACCGATTTTATCATTACCTAACTTTAACAATACTTTTGAGATTGAGTGTGATGCCTCCGAAATAGGCATTGGAGCTATCTTAATGCAGGAACGAAGACCAATAGCTTATGTTAGTGAAAAGCTAAATGGATCAGCTCTCAATTATCCTACATATGACAAGGAGTTGTATGCACTTGTTCGAGTTTTGGAGACATGGCAACACTACTTGTGGCCAAAGGAGTTCGTGATTCACACCGACCATGAGTCATTGAAACATTTAAGGGGTCAAGGTAAACTAAACAAGAGATATGCAAGGTGGATGGAGTTCATCGAGACATTCACATATGCTATTCGGTATAAACAAAGTAAAGAAAATGTGGTAGCAGATGCCTTGTCAAGGAGGTACGTACTTCTAACGTCTTTAGGTGCTAAATTGCTAGGATTTGAATATGTTAAGGTCGTGTATGCTAATGATCCAGATTTTTCTACTATATACGAATCATGTGATAAGGGTACTATGTGTAGATTCTTTAGACATGATGGATATCTATTTCGGGAAAATAAGTTATGTGTTTCTAAATGTTCAATGAGAGAATTATTAGTATGTGAGGCACATAGTGGTGGTCTAATGGGTCATTTTAGGGGTAAAGAAGACCTTAGAGATGCTAAATGAACATTTTCATTTGCCTAAGATGAAGGTTGACGTTGATCGGGTTTGTAATAGATGCACCACTTGTAAAAAGGCGAAATCTAAGGTTTTACCACAGGGTTTATATACGCTATTACCTGTTTCTAATGAATCTTGGGTTGAGTTTATCTAGGACTAAGAAATGAAGGAATTCTATATTTGTGGTGGTAGATAGATTTAATAAGATGACACATTTCATTTCATGTCATAAAATCGATGATGCCACCAATATAGCCGATATATTTTTTAAGGAAGTAGTGCGCTTAAATGGGATTCTTAGAAATATTGTATCGGATATAGATGTTAAATTTCTTAGTCATTTATGGAGAATTTTGTGGAATAAGTTAGGAATCAAGCTATTGTTTTCTACTACTTGTCACCCACAAACAGATGAGCAAACCGAGGTAGTTAATATGACTATAATACAATTGTTGCACACTATAGTTAATAAGAATTTAAAGAGTTGAGAGGATTGCTTGTCATTTATAGAGTTTGCATTTAATAGGGCCACGCATTCTATTACTTCTTACTCGCCATTTGAAATTGTATATGGTTTTAATCCACTAACGCCTTTAGATTTAATTCATTTACTTGTGGATGAAATGGGTAGTTTAAATGGAAAGAAGAAGATCGAATTGGTAAAATCACTTCATGAAAAGGTAAAGTTGCAAATTGAAAAAAAAAATAAGCACTATGCCTCGCATGCAAACAAGGGACACAAGCGCGTTACATTGGAACCAGGAGATTGGGTTTGGGTGCACTTGAGGAAAGAACGTTTTCGTTAAAAATACAACCACGGGGAGATGGTCCAGTCCAAATCCTTGAAAAGATCAATAACAATGGCTACAAATTAGATCTTTCAGGTGAGCATAATGTTTCGACTACCTTTAATGTTTTTTATCTTTCTCTCTTTGATGCAAGTACATATTTGAGGATGAATCCATTCGAAGAGAAGGGTGATGTAATCCATGATACGAGAGCAATGATTAGGTCGCGAGCGAAGCGAGTTAAAGAGGCGATGAGATTGCTTGTTCAAATTACAGTGGATGAAACGTCGATCACGACAAGCAAAGGAACAAATTTCGTGTTGGGATCGGGAGAAGAAACCAAATTGATCAACTTGGTTCAAGCAGCGGACGAAGAATCATAGTTCATTCTAGACGTGTATTTTTTCAATTTTCGCGTAATCTTTTAATTAAATTAAAACTCTTTTATGGAATGGTTTTAGTATCTTTGAAACTTAAATTCCGTTTTTAACTAGATTTTATAGGTTCCCTATATATTGGACTCATTATATTCATTGTAAGCACACAATTATTGAGATTATTAACGCGAGACTAAATTGCTTTCTTCTAGTTCTTCATTGTTTTAATTTTGAACTTATCAAGAGTTAAATTCTTGTGGCTTTCTACAAATTCAAAGTAAGATTCATAAGTTTTGTTATCACGGGTTAAGATATTGTTAGCGATTGTCTTGATTCTTGGTTCAATAATTTATTGGATCGAGTTTTTCAAACGTTGATTCTTGGCTTCTTGAGTTGTTCTAATTTGTCGTGAGTTCCGTAACTACAATGGCTAAGTGGGTTTGCATTATTGCCTTTCCCGTCGCTAGTATACGACCACTTGCATATAATGTTTTGTCAAAATATGCAAAAAAACTTACACATGGATGAAAGAGAAGTCGAGATTATTGACCATGTGTTCCCTTCAAATTTCGAGACCAAGTGGGCTAAATGTTTTCATTCCAAGACAATTAGGGGTGTGTTTGAGTCACATTATTTTAGAAAAATGTATTTTGAAATGGTAAATTGATGGAGAATGTACGGTTGAAAAATAAGGAAAAGTTATTGATGTGATGAAAAATATTATTTTATTGATGAATGTGTGATTGAAAATGAGTAAAAAAATGAAAATGAGAATTTTAATGTGATTCAAGCAAGGGCTAGATATTGTCACTCAACAAAATATTATCACATCTTAGAGTTTTCTGTTCTTTTTTTCTTAAAAAAACAAACAATTTTATCCTTCCAAGAAAATATTCTCCAACACAAAATACTTGTTTTGACTTTTCATTAATTACAAATTTATTCTTCTACAAGTGAAAGAGAAGCACATTGATGCCTCATAATAAATTATATTGAAAAATAAACATTAATTTTACATTTTCACAAATAGGAAAAGGAAACAGGTGGTCAACTGCAAAGTGCCCTTTTTACGTAGGACAGCAACAAGTACCCGTGAAAAACTCCTACCCACTAAAATTATGACACGTGTAATTCAACCTGAGGCAAGTAGCTCGAGTTAAGATAGCGTTTAAAAATAATAAAGAAAAAGAAAAGGGCGAGAAAAAGCGGTAGTGACATCAGTGAGCCACCTGTCGAGGGGGCTCTTTTAACGTTGGCCACAAGATTCCATGTTTTTCTCCATCTTTCTATTAAAACCAAGAATTAATTCCATTTTACCCATTTGACGTGGCACCCATGTGCACCCTTCTTCTTCTTTTTCCCCTCCCAATTCCCATCAACCAAATTAAAAATTTTCTTTCAATTTAGTCCCACTGTGTGTGGAGTATTTAATTTCTCTTTTGCCTTACATTTACTATATTTTTTGGTAGCTGAATAAAATCTATCTCCTCGTCCTTCACTTGCTGTACCCTCGCTTTTTTGTTGGATTTGTTTTTCTTTTTTGATTTGGGAAATCAAGTCACTTTCTTTCTTTCTGGCTTTATCTAGCATATTCCAATCACTGGTTTCAGATAAAGATCGAGGCTTTGAGATGTTTTTGTTCATTTTTCACTCCCTTTCCTGTGCCTGAACAATCCCTTTTCTTGGATCCCATTTCGACAGCTGCTCTGTATAATTTCTTATGCAAATTTTATTTGCTAATCTGATTAAGCTGTTTATTCATTTTTCTCTGAATCAACAACTTTTGTGAGCTTAGTTCATGGGGAAATATGGTGCTTGTGATTGGAAAGTCTGATATTTCTGGGACTTGGAGGTGTTTCCTGGTGATTAGATTTCAAGAAAAAGATTTTTAGAAGGATTTTCATTCAGCGAAGCTACTTTAAGAATTGCAGAAAGAAGATTTCAAGAATTGATGGTTTCTACTGCTATGGATACACAGGTGAATGCTATATCTACCTATATCTGTACAGTGAATTGTAATTTAAGTTGAAGTCTCTTGATTTGGTATTTTATTAAGAATTCTGGGAAATAAAATTTAGACTTATGTAAATTTTGTTGATTCAGAGAAATTACTTTTTAATAATTAGTACCTTTCTCTAGACACAAATATTCGAACAACTATATAACTGCCAAGTTTGATGCCAATTTTATTGTAAAATTCATAGTTGTGAATATTGTGTTATTTGTAAGCAGAAGAAAAAAAATAGTATTTTCCATGTGTCAGCTGCTGAACTTGCTTGAGCTACTTGTGATATGAATAAATTAGTAGTTTTTAATGAGATCTGTTCTCCGAGGATTGTGGTGTTGGTTTATATGTTTCAACTTGTACAAAAATGTGGTAGGTGGTGGCTTTTTGTGTAATCTGGGATTGCACCATAGGTGTTTATCAGTATAGAATTGGAATTTTCTTTGTATAATTTACCCCAAAGAAGAAATGATACATGTCTCCTCGGCTTGTCTTTATGTCCAAAGAAAATCTAATAACAATTACAATCCAAACGTTTGAGATTTATATTATCATTATAGGACTCAGAAAGAAAGCTTGTCGAGTTAATGTTGGTAAAGGAACGTCAAGTATTTGACCGATCCATGCAATTGAAGATATGTTGTGCTTTAAACCTATTCTGATTAAATGGCTACTGGTAATGACAAATGCCGGTCACAAGTTTGTCTGTTACATGAAAAAGAAATTTGGAAAACTGATGGTACTCCTGCTAGAGAATTTGAGTCCTTGACATACATTAAAATTAATGATGATACATGTTTGAGAAATACTCTTTCTTGAGTTTTCTTCTTGATATTATATGTTTAACACCCACTTTTTTTTTTTTTTTGCTTCTGTAGGGTCAAAGTGAAGGCACTGGATCAGATATTATTATGCCTACAAGCAAACGAATTTCTATAAAAATTGGTGTACCTTCTAATAAGGGTATCTTGTTGAAAGAGCAGTTAACTCCTGAGGGTGACTTTCATTCAAAGGTTTCTACACCCCTATTTGTTGATTTCATGGAGAACCTTTTTAGACCGCCAACTTATCTTGCATTGTCTTCTTTGAATAGGTCAGGAAACCGTACACAATCACGAAACAAAGAGAGAGATGGACAGAAGAAGAGCATAAAAAATTTCTAGAGGCATTAAAACTTTATGGTCGGGCATGGAGAAAAATAGAAGGTGGCTATTCCTTGTACATGAATGTTTTCTAGAGTACACTTAATATGGTCTTTGAAGTATTTAAAGGAGATTCTGATTTTTTCAGGGCATGTGGGAACAAAAACTGCAGTGCAAATTCGAAGCCATGCCCAAAAGTTTTTCTCAAAGGTCTTTTCTGTTCTTATACCTGTTTCATTCTCTCCCATTATATCTGCGTGCGCTTTTTAAGTCATATCTCTTGTGACTCCAAGATGGTGCAGACTTGTGTGGGGTTAAAACCTTTGTAAATCATTAAATGTTAAAGGTTAGATGTCTCTGTTCTGCTTAGGTTGCTCGCGAGTCTAATATTGGTGATGGCAGCTCTGTGAAACCAATTGAAATTCCCCCTCCCAGGCCCAAAAGGAAGCCAATGCACCCCTATCCTCGTAAGCAGGTTTCTCCAGTCAAAACTGCAATCTCTGCACCCGAGAAACCGTTAAGTTCTGTATCTCCCAATCTGTCTGCCTCGGAGCATGAAAACCAATCTCCGACATCCGTATTGTCTGCAATTGGTTCAGATGATACAACTGATTCTGATATGATTAATGAAAGCCCATCACCTGTTTCATCTACTGCTGTCAATAGTGGTGCTGTTTTTTGTTCTGAAATAGCTAACTTGTCGTCAGAAGAGTTCAAATATTCTCCTGGCCAAGAAGATGTTCGTTCAAGTCCAAAAGAACAAGCTCCTCCGGTACGTACTTAATTGATTTTATAATAATTTTGGTGCATCAGAAGTGATTTGTTATAATCAACAAGTGTTATATTTGGTTGTCCAGAAATTGGAGCTGCAATATGAAGATAATGCTTTTGTTAAGGAAGAATCAGCTGAATCAGCCACACAGTGTTTGAAGCTGTTTGGCAAGACATTGCTCGTCACTGATCCTCAGGGACCATCTTATCCTACTCAAACTTGCAAAATGCAGGCACTAGACACAAACAATGGTACATCTTTACAGACACTACCATGGAATCTTGTGCTTCCAAGTACTTCGTCGACTCATTCTGAATGTACCTGGAGTAGCTTTTCTCAGAGTTTACCTGAGCCATTCCATTACACTGAGTCAACAGAAAATGAATCTAGCAATGTAGAGGCTTGTCCGGTCAATGTTCAATGGTCATCCCTTTGTGGCTATGCACAGCTCTCACCTTTGCATGTCCATAATCCAATCCCAATCAAGGCTCGTCCGTCACGTGATAAGAAAGTGGAGGAGAAATATGATGGGAAGGATAGATTTTCAATAGGTTCAAACATGGGTATAGGTTGTATTCTTTCCATTGTAAGGGAAGGAAAGGAAGAAGGATCGGTTTCCTCCAGGTTAAGCGAGAAAGCTAGAGCAAAAGCAATGAGCTGCAAGAAGGGCTTTGTGCCGTATAAGAGATGTTTAGCTGAGAGGGATCTTACCCTGTCGATGATGATAACTGGCGAGGAGAGGGAGGAGCAGAGGATCCGCCTTTGCTTGTAGTTGATAGAGATTTATTTGCAGCAGGCTGGGCAAGGAGCCTGGAAAGATTTAAGTGGCTGAACAACAAGCTGGGTGACCAAGGCAAAGCCTATCCTAGATTGAAGAATTTTTGTCCTTTTTAGTTCTTCTGCCCACATAGGTTGTAAATTTTTATTTTCATTTTACAGTTCATTGTTAGCTTCAGCTCTGTAATTTCCCTTTTCATAACTGCGAAGCATTTGATCTAATGTTCAGTAATTCGTGTATCTCCTCAAGGTTTGAGTTTTGGTAAAAATCGAGAAATATATTTACAATGATCATGCATATAAGTTATAACGAAGAAAGTTATCAACACAAACATGACCGAACTTGAAATAACCTCTTGAGATAAAATCAGATGGAACTACTGTAGACAATAACATTGGTTATCGTGAAAAAAGCCACACGATGGATTCTTGAAATAGTTCAAAATACTGTTGGAAATGGTGCCAAGTGGGTCAACTTTGACCACAAATTTTGGTGGGACCCAATGTTCGAATTGTCGAAATAAATGTTCAATTAAATTCTACGTTCCGAGTAGATGAATGTAGAATATTTAATTGTGAAAAATCATTTCAATATGAATGAAAAATTATGGTTGAAAGTTGAACAATAAATAAGAGGAATAAATGGGAAAGAAATGGAAAACTGTTCCAATCCCACATAGGTTGCAAACGCAACCTTGAACCACTTAATAAACTTCAAGTTTGGAAATGGGTTTGAGCCTCAAGGGATATCAATAGTTTTTGAAAGGGGGAGTTTTAGACAATGTCTAAACTAACCAAAGGCCACACGCGCGCGCGGCGGGCTCAACCGTTAACTCTTTCCTCTATTTAAAGGATTCTCAAGCTTTCATTCGACACACACCAACAAACACAGAAAATACACACACAAACAAACACAGAAAATACATAAGTTCATTCTGCATACATACAGTCTTCCGTTTTCTTTTTTTGCATTAGTCTACAGAGAGTACTTCCGGTTGTGGTTCGCTGTCTTGCAGTCGGAGTGCTGATTCTGCAAGTGTTCGATCGTTGTATCTTGGGAGACGTTTTACTACATACCGTAAGCACCATGTGATGGGGTAAAAACGTCTTAA